TCCCCGTCGTCGGTGGTGGCCTCCAGGCTGGCCCCGAGGGACAGGAGGTACCTGCAGGACACGGAGCTGAGCCGCCGGGCCGGGCATCCCCGGGCCCGCAGCCCCGGCGCCGGGAGCAGCACGGCCCGAACAGTCCTGGGGGCAGCGCAGGGACCGGGCACCCCCCGGGAGGAGCCGCCCGGACCCCGCTCCATCCCGGCACCGTCGGTTCTGGGGCTCTGCAGCACCGGGGACCCTCGCAGCCCCTCACCTGGCTATGTCAGCGTAGCCATCGCTGCAGGCCATGTGCAGGGGCGTCCAGCCGTTCTCATCTCTCTGGTGGATGTCGGCGCCGTATTTCACCAGGAGCTTGACACAGTCCAGGTTTCCCGTCAGCACGGCCTCGTGAAGAGCTGCCATGCCTGGAGGGACAGGAGGTGTTAGCCCTGGCCTGGGGAAGGGTTCTCCATACTGAGTTCACAAGTGCAGGTTGTGCACAGCCCAGGAAAGGGGTGCCAGGAAGCCTCCTGCTCAGGGAGAAGACTGTAGGGAAAGAAACAAAGACTGAGGAAGCCAGAGGAGCTGCCACGTATTCCTCTTCCCCTTCTGCAACAAAAATACCCTGTCTGGGGCACCACTGCCCTGGCCAGACAGGACAGAGGGAGAGAGAAGGAGTTGCCCTGTACTTAGAGCAGCTGCCCTGAGTCCTGGCTGAGACTCAAACACAGACACAAGAAGTCTCTGGGGTCCTGCTTTGCCTGAGTTTCGGAAGGTCCTCACTAATTAAGAATCAGTATGGACAGGAGGAAGCCTGGGGTCATTTGAGCCTGTCTGTGTGGCCATGTGACAGCAGAAGCTGAAGCCAAGCACAAGAAAAGGACAAGTCTGGGCTCTGCACCAGCCCATATGGATCAAGGCATTCCATAAACAGTTGCTGTTGAGGTTGGGTGCAAACAGAACACAAAGCCTTCCCCATGAGTCCCCGGAGCCAGACATGCAAGAGGGAGCAGTGTTTGTGAGAAATGGGCAGAGCCAGGAACAAATGCAGAGCCTTTCCCCACTCTTCCTCAAGCTGGGGTGAAGACAGGAGGGGTCCTGCCCAGAGCTCACAGACCAGCCTGTGCTTGCTGCTGCTCTTTGAAGTCTCACCGCACTGCAGGTGCTCTGTTGGGCCTTGGAGGGACCTTGGGGCCAAGCTCCCCCCTTCCCACAGTGTGCGCTGACCGTGCTGTTGAGGGGAGATATTGGGGTCCTGGCTCTTGGGCCCTGCTGGGCCATGCTGAGGGCACTGCTCCTCACTAGGGAGGGACCCAGCTCACTCCAGCTCTGCCAAAGGTGGCCCATGGCCTGGCTTCCATGTCCCTCAGGGCCCCACCAAGCTGTGCCACCACTCTGCCCCAGCTCTGCTGACCCCGGCAGCACTCACCAGAGGGGTAGATGGTGTCCAGCGTCACCTTCCTGGCTCGTATGAACCTGCCCACCTGTTCCAGGTCCCCCTGCTTGATGTGGTCCTGAAAGACGACGTCGTTGGGGAAGTGCACAGTGCGCGAGGCCCTCAGGCGCGGGGTGTACCGGCCGTACCGGGGCACCGACACGGGGCAGTAGTCCCTCATGCTGGCAGCAGCCTTCAGGCACAGTGGCATAGGGGTTGCTTAGCGCTCAGCCCAGCCCCTTACTGCCCTGCTCTCTCTTCTTCTGCCTGTCAGGGCTCTCCTTGCTTCTGAGCTGTGCTTTTCCCCACACTGCTGTGCTCCCGCCGTGTCCGTGTCCGTGTCCCCAGCCGGCACGTGTCCCCTGGCACAGTGGCATAGGGGTTGCTTAGCGCTCAGCCCAGCCCCTTACTGCCCTGCTCTCTCTTCTTCTGCCTGTCAGGGCTCTCCTTGCTTCGGAGCTGTGCTTTTCCCCACACTGCTGTGCTCCCGCCGTGTCCGTGTCCGTGTCCCCAGCCGGCACGTGTCCCCTCACCGCAGGGAAGCGACAGCCACCGTGCCCTCCTACACTCCCAAGCTGCATGCAGGAGGTGGCACCTGGCACTCGCAGCTCACCCGCAGGCCCACAGGCCCAGGACTGATGGTTCTCTGGGGGCACCGTGTTATAAAGGCTTCCCTGGGCTATTTTGGGGACATGCAGCTCATGCTATTTGCCATGATGCTTAGTAATTGAGCCGCCCAGGCCCACAGCCTCCCACTTTTGGGCAGAAGTTGGTGTCTCATCTTACACCCACCTGTTGATGTGCCCATCCAAGGGGTCAAATCTACTCTTGCATGGATAGCCCTTCAGGGGAGCCTGGAAGCAACTTCCCAGCAACAAGCCCTCCTGGGAGAAGGGACACAGGCACGATTGCCAACAGAGGGAACTGGCCGCTCATGTCCTGATGTCCTGACCGGCCAGCACAGTGCAGACATGCCAGGGCTGTGGTGCCAAATGCATCCAGAGCTGTTCACCCTTCTGTAGCTGCATGGGACAGCTTGAAAGAAGCAGGAGGAGCAGCGCTGCCCAGCACGACTGCGACAGCGCACAGCCCAGCAGGGAGAATGTGACCGGTGAATGAGGTGTCCCCTGTGCTCTAGTGAGGACAGAGGTACTGCTGATGCTTCCGAGGCAGATGCAGAACCAGAAGCCTGCACTGCTGGTCCCTGATGTTCCATGTCCTACTTCAGACTGGGAAGCAGCTGCTGGTGAGGACAGACTGCTTTGAGCAGCCTCAGAGGAACAGTGGAAGAACAGCACCACCACCAGACAATTCCTGCCTCCAGTACTCTCCAGCTACACTGTCACAGGCCCAAAACAGACCACCTGCCACAGAGGAATCACTCAGGTCCATCAAGCATTCAAGCAACTACTGCTTTTACCCATTAAAGTTTGGGCATATCAGACACATGAGCATTTTGTGCTCCGGGTTGTACTGATGGGATTGTCCAGGCAGATGTGTCAGAAAAAATCCCTGTGCTGCTTTAGGAGTCAGGGATTTCACTCTGCCTCTCCTGCAGCAGACCCTTGCCTCAACCCCAGTAGCGTGGTGAGCCACACACCTGAGAACTCCTGCCCTTGTTTATCTGCTGGCAAACATCGATCTCTTGGCCGACTGTCTGCTCGGGGTTACATCAGCCAGAACACGGCACTGGGGACAGAACACTTCCAGCCTGCTTTCTTGGAACAGCAATTAGCCACATACATGAGATGGCTGCTGAAGTCCTGCTCTGCCACAAGGTGCCTTGCACTAGGAGAAGAGCCCCCTCCTCTTAGCTGAGCACGGCAAGTCTCAGCCCAGGAACAGAAGAGAATCACTGCAGAGCTCAGACTTGGTTACACTTCAGCTGGCTCCACAAAGTGGACCTTTTTGAGCTGAGTCCTAGACAGCACCTTCCAGTGGAACTTCTTGCTAGTGGGGCTCCTTTCCTCCCCACCCCAGAACACAAGGCAGCTGTCACCAACCAGCCCAGGCCACCAGCACTGCCTGCTCTGTTGGGGTGCAACACTGGCTGGGACCCTGCCTAGGAGGCTAGAGCTGGAGACAGAGAGACAAGTGTTGTCCAACACCCCTGTGCCACTGCCTCGGCACACCCCTCCTCAGTGACAGCTACCAATAGCTCCCCCAGTTGCCCTCTAGCCTTACTGTGCCCTCCCTGTAACATTTATAGCGTATTTTCAAACCAAAATACCTTTAGCAGCAAGCAGCATGTTTGGAAATAGCAGTGTGGCTCACAGGGTCATGTGAGCCCAGCTGGCAGAGCCACAGCAGCCCCAGCATGCCCTGGTTCACTGGTCCAGAGCAAGGTCCCCTCACGCCAGCCAGCTGGCCCAGGGGCCACACGCTCCCAGAGCCAACTCACCCCTAACAGAGCACCTGCACAAGCCCATGGAATCTGGACAGGGCTTGGACAAGTTTTTTTATCCTTTATCAATTATGTGGAGAAAGCTGACTCACACCCCATTGTAGCAGAGTCCCTCAAGACTCAGCCTCCAACTCTGATCCCTTTGCAGGGCAGGTTCAAATATTCTATACTTTGATAAAGATCAAGAGATGTAATAGTATTAAAATCTCAACTTTATTTGGCCGTCAAATTCAGTACCAACCAATGTTATTGTAGCAGAATGCTAAGAACCAGGCTGATGCAGCTCAGGCCTTTGAGGCACTCCCCCAGTCATGTTTCCAAACCCCAATAATTGCAAATGTCCTGTTTGATCTGTTTATCAGGCCCTCCCCCACCACCCACCTGCCAGGTCAGCCCTCCCAAAATAATTCATAGAAAGGGATCGCAAGTCTTGCCTTTGATCAAAAGGATGGAGACACTGCTGGTGAGCCAGTGGCCATCTCCACCCTCAGAGCCTGCCACAGCCAGTGCACACAGTATTCCACCCTTCCAGGTATTTGGAATTGTCATCTCCAAGTGTCTTAAAGCAGAGGGGAAAGGAACATCTGGCCACCATGAAGAGAAGCACCTTCACATACACCTTTCCCCAGGAAGCCATCAGCCCTCTGCCTCTGCCCCTACAAATACTGAAGGCCCACCCCAGGGAAGAACAGCTGAGGCTATTACGGACCCTGCCAGGTGCAGAAATCAATTATGGGCTTTAGTTTTAAAAGAGAAAAAGAAAAAAGCTTTCTTGGAAGATGTTAGTGGCAAGGCTCCAGACTGTCAGGCCACTGAACTCCTGGTAACACCTCACAACCTCCTGCTGCCCAGAAGAACAGAATACTCCAGACAAAAGCTGTGTACAAAAAAGTACATCACAATAAAAAAAAAAAGAGCCCAGCTGGCTGGGCTGGCTCCCTAGTGACAGCTCCCTTCTCAAAAGCCAAAAGAAAGAAAAGTCAAGTGTACAGACAAGTGAGGGTAAAGTGTTACTTTAAAAGCCAATCCCTGGATTTCCAGTCATTCACCTTCTGCTTTAAATCTTAATGGGTTTCTGACTCCCTGGCTGCATCACAGCAGCCAATTTAGTGTCTGATTTTTTGGGTGATGTAGATCAGTCTTCTCTTTACAATTCATCCTTCTGGAGTTTCTGCTCATCCTCATCACCTTCCTCAAGGTCCGTCTCTTCATCTGTCTCCAGGTCCTCCAGATCCTGTGGGGGTTACAGACAGCTCCTGGTTTCTGGCACGTGAGGCAGATCCAGAACCAAGCACAGAGCTGCAGCTCTGATCTGGTCACTGCCCTCTGCTGCCACGTTAACAAAACATCTAGTGAGGAGCTTCCAACTAGATACACAGGTATGTAGCACTGATCCCACAGCCCAGTTCCAGGTGCTGAGCAGGAGTTCCCTAGGGAACAAGCCCTCAGTGCCCCAGCAGTGCACAACCCCAGTGCTGCTGCTTCACACACCCACTGGGTGCTCTCTGGAAAAGGAGCCCATTGCAGGCTCACAGCCAGCCAGGCAGCACCTCAACAGGTCACACTGTGGGCACTTTTGTTCACCAGCAATATCCTCTCCTACCACATAACAACCCAGGATCTGATTGAGGATTCGGGCACAGCACCAGATCTGACCCGTGCTCAGTGTTCTCAAGGCCCAGAGTGATCCATTCACATTACTCACATCATCAGCTGCTGCCCCGTCCTGACCTCCGCTCTCCAGGAATTTTTTGAAGCCTTCTAACGTCCTCTCCCCGTTATAGTCAATGACCTACAGAGGGAAAACATGAGGATACTGGTTATGGGCACTACTGACCCACACCCCTGGAGAGGAGAATTCTCTTTCTGAGCAACAGTGAACATGCCAAGCAAAAGGGAATTGAAAAATTCACCTTCACCCATATGAGATGAAGGAAAACAGCTCAGCCACTAGACTTCAGAGATCACTGCGAGGAAAGAATAGCCTGCAGATGAGCACACCATCCTCTATGCTCCCTCTTCTCCCCATTCCCACTTCCCACCCCCCACAAAATCTCCCTACAGCACAGCCCCCCATAAAGGGTCTCGGGTGTCCTGTAGACTTGATGTGTTCTATCCCAACAGAATGCAGAGCCCTCCCAAAGGCCTTGTCCAAGACACAACTCAAGCAGGCAGCTGAGCATTCCCGTGCTCCCTGGCTGTGCAACCACACGAGCTCGGCTCCTGCTTACATTTCTGCCAGAGCCTGCAGGGAAGAACTTGAGTGTGGGGAAGCTGTGGATTTTCACCGCCTCCACTTCATTAGCTGTCGAGTCCATCTTGGCAATGACAATGTTCTCATGGTCCCTGTAGGTCTCTCCCAGCTTGTCCCAGATTGGAGCCAGCTGCTTGCAGTGACCACACCATGGGGCATCTGTTAATTACAGAGACAGAGATGTACCAAGAAACTAATAAGGTACCACCCCTTCCCAGCCAGACAATTCACACACATCTTTGCAACCAAGGCACTGCCTTTGGGGCCTAGACTCTGCAAAATGCTTTCTCCCTAATCATGGTCACACAGTATTTTGGTACTCCTTTCACACACCAGTTACTTGGAATCAGCTGTAGGAAGACACTCACAGAACTCTACGAAGACATTCTTATTCTCATCAAAAGCTACTTCTTCAAAGTTCTTCCCAACCAGAACTTTGACAGGCTGCTTATCCCAGTCTTCAGGAAGATCTTGACTCATCAGGTGGGGCTAGAATAAGAAGTGAAATTCAGAGATTGTTTGCTGCTTGGACTGAACATGTGATCACATATCCTGGAAAATCCAGGTTTAACCACCCCCCTGGTGCCTCTGCCACAGGCTGTGAGCAACCAGATGAAATGGTCACTTCCTCTTCTCCCACAGAAAGTCTTCTTTGCACCCTGACCCAGTGGGAATAGCAGGTGCTGTTGTGCAGAGAGAGGGCCAATGGAGCTCTGCAGGAAGGAAGCAGCACTGCTGACAGCCCCATTCACATGGGACTGGGCTTTGCTGCACCCCCACAGCCCCTCCAGTGGGCAGGCACAGACAGCTCTTTACACTGTGCCATATAACTCACACCTTCCACAGGTTCTTGGCAGAAAGAGCAACTGGAGAAACAGCACAGTCCCCACGGGCAGAGCACAAGAGCTCAGCTGTACCAAAGTGCCAGTACCTGCAGCCTCCATGCCCCAGCAGCTTTGCCCTTCATTCCTCAGCACAAAGCCCGGGGGATATTTCGTGCAGGAGACAGAGGAGTTTCTCAGACTCGCACAGCCCCTCACAGGGAGTGTTTCTGTTCCTTCTCAGCCAGCCCATTCACCACTGGCACCATTTATCCACATACCTTGATCTTGCCCTCCAGGAACTTGTTACAGAACTCTTTGATCTTGTCTGCTGTCAGCTCATCAGATTCAGGTTTGTATTTGGTCATCTCTTCCTCCAGGGTGATCAGACGTACAGCTGGGCACTCTTCCTTCTTTAGGCCAAAGAACTCCAAAATCCTCTGGTTGTCACTGTGGTCACTGTCTATGAAGATGAACAGGATCTTGGGAGGAAAAAGTGAAAGGCAGGAGGTGAACACAAGTACCTCATGGCTACCACACTTCACACATGCAGTCACACAAGTGTAGTTGAATGGGGCTCTCTTCCTCCCCTGTCCCAGCAGAGAGAACTGGCTGCAAGTTCCCTCCACAGCTGCTCCCTGTACAGACTCCTCTGCAGAAGGCAGTCTCAGCTCGTGGTCTAAGAAATCCATCTCACCTTCCCTTTGAAGTTCCCAGCTGCACTCTTGAAGTTGTCCAGCTTCCCTTGATAGTCAGACACGCTTTTTGGTAGGAACAGCAGAATATGAGTCTTGATCTCTCCTCCAAAGATTTTAGGAGCAGTCTGAGGAGTAGAAAATAAAATTTATTTTTGGAAGAGAGGCAAATCAGTGTCCAGACCAGTTTGACTCTGCTATTTTGAGCAACCCACAGGAGCCTCCAAAACTGCAGGAAGCTCTGCACAGCAAGCTCACATCTCCTTTATCCTGTGTCCTTCCCACTTCTCCATACCCCCAAACTAGTGTCAGCTCCACAGTAAAACATCCATGGAACCTACAACTGGAGCTTTGCTATATTCTTGCAGCAGCCACGGGAAGGGCCTTACCAGGTATCTAAAGACTCACCTGCTCAGTGAACTCTATGACCAGAGGCAATGAATTAGACTTGATGAAGTTCAGCAGATTATCTTTTGTGATATCCCCTTCAAAGTTGTTTCGGCCTTCATCAAACTGCAAGAACAGACATTCTTTATTAGAACACTTCCTACACAAATCTCTCAAAGCCTTCACACCAGTCACTGCCCCAAGGGATATCAGCTGCACTCATTCAGAGCAGACTTCCATCTCAACAAGGTCACCACATGTCACATAAAGTCTGGATTAAGGTGTCTACCTTCCTGGCAAGCAAAGCCTTAAATCATTCCCCAGCAGGAGGTGAGCAGCAACAACAGCCAGCTCTGATCTCAGCCTTGCTCTGCACCACCGCGACACCACTGACGGAGCGGGTCACCAAGACAGACCCAGAGCAGCCATCTCCAGCCCTGCAGCACAGGCAGCTTCTGCTGCACAGGAATCAGTGGTGTCAGAGCAGACACTGCAGCCAGACAGTGCTGGGAACATCTGCCAGCAAAAGCCTGCAGCAAACAGTGATTTCCTCGGCTCTGGGAGGTCATTCCAGTCTCTGTTGTTAGAGACAACAGCACACGGTGCACGTCCTACCAGAGGCGCCAGGTCCTGTTTTACACAGGGCCACCACCCATATCCCTGACCAGGATTCTCAGAACCCTCTGGCAGCCTGGAACAGGAACAGCTGTAGAGGCACATCAAGGTTAGAGAGAGGATGTGCAGGAGGGCACTGGCAGGGCCACGCTCGGGTTGCTGGCAGAAGCAGGAGAGTGGACTCAGATAACTTTCTGTTAGGGAAAGCACACCAGCCCCAGCAGAAAAGCTGAGGACAACAGCATTGGAAAATAACTTTGCAAACACTTTGAGGAGCATTGCAGGTCACCTCAGTGCCTTCAGGACAGCTGCGTGAGGGTCCATGTGAGTCTGGACAACTCACATGGAGTAACAACAAGCCAAACCCTCTCAGTTCAGACCCAACTGACTGTAAGGAACTGAGCCAAAGCCCAGAAACAACACGGTTGACAAAATGAGCCATCAGGTTCTTCTACCCCAGTGTTTGGTTACTGTGGGTGCTCTTTTTCTCCTTGGTTTGGAGTGGACATGTCCAAGAGCTCCCATGGCACTGCCCTGCCATTGCATGGAACAGGAAGGAACCACCACAGGCTGGACAGACCTTGGCTGCTCCTTCCACAGAGCCCAGCACTCCTGCCCCATCCCAGCCTAGCACAGCACAGTCACTCCAGCTCTCAACACACCTGAAGGGGTGCCAGGCCCAGAACTCTGCCCAGCTCAGTACTACCCAGAGTGGGGCACACAAAGCTACCCACATGACAGGAGTGAGGCACAGGTACCAAGTTAGCCAAGAACAAAACACTGCTCCCTTCCCTCCTGGCTTTGCTATGCATGTTGAGCTCATTAGTCAGATAAATCACCTGCATCCTCAGCCACAGTGACCTGAGGGGCCTCTGACTCAGAATGTAAGTCTACAAGCTTCTAGCACCATAAAAATAACTACAATGCCAGAGCTGTAGTGGAATAAAACACTATTTCAACTGAATAAAGAATAAAAGTCTTGAGGCTGTCCTAGGTCATGCTGGGCAGAGTGATGACTGATGAGATTACAGGTTTAATAAGTCTGAACCCAAAGCAGCTTTGTCCTGCCTCACAGCACCCAAGGGTGCAGAGCCACCAAGCTCCTTGTCTGCTCAAACCTGGAATTTCATCCCAGTGACTGGATCTCCATGCCTTCATGAGTACATTTATCTGTGATTCTGCAGGTAGTCAGCATCCCTCTGCACATAATCCACTGCCCCAGTCCAGTCAGCTGGAACTGCAGATCACCTCAGGAGTTTCTCTGGAGTGCCTGCGCTGCAGAATCCGCGGCGCTGAGACCGAGCAGCTCCTGAGCACAGCAGGGACTGATGGCAGAGGCCAACAGTGAGCAGGGAAAAGCCACAACCAAACAGCACCACAGCAGCCAGAGGGCTCGGCTGCTGTTCTCTTGAGCCTGTCTGAGTCCCGGGGGCCTCCTCAGTTACAGCCACAAGTGCTTTAAACACTGTGTGACTATTGCTGCACTGTGGGGAGCGAAGGAACAGGGAAGCGAGTGAGGAAACAGCCTGGACCCAAAGCCCAGCAGCTCTGGGAGGGCAGCACAGAGCTGGGAGATCGACAAGGCTGCACTCTTCAGGTCCCTGTCACTCTCCCATCCTAATGAAAGGGCCAAGGCTCTGCTCTTCCCCCCATGCTCTGAGGCTTGGGAATGCAGGCACACTGACAGCACAGGTCCTTTGCTGTTTTGTCCAGGGCTGCTCCTGTCTGAGTCTGACTGATTAGAGAGAAGGGAAGAGGCAGCAGACCCCAGTGTGGTGCTCAGGCTTGGCACGAGCCAGTACCTTCTTGAAGAGGACAACACCATCCTTGCTAAGCTGGTACTTGGAGAAGACATCAGCACTGGAGGAAATCCCAAAAGGAATATCATCCACGGCTTCTGCTGCCAACAGGAACTCCTTTGCAGCCTCTGATGTCAAATCCTGGAGAGTAAAGAAAGGTGTCTCACACAGGCCACATCACCTGAAGCACTCACATCTCAGGGCTCAGCCCAGAGAACTGGAAGATCAAGTAAGGCAGGACAGCGAGCGTTGCACAAGGCACAGGGCCTTCCTCAGCCACCAGGAAGGCCCCCGACACATGCAAGAGTGTCTCCAAGGGAAGCACAAACTCTACCTTGAAGAAGCCAATCACCACAACTTCACTGGAGTCCACCAGCTCCGCCGCCGCAGCCGCGTCGCTCAGGGTAGCGGCGGCTGGGCCCGTGCGTTTCTTCAGCCAGCTGACGATGTCCTCTGCTTCCCTGCCAGCTACACCGGGAGATAAGAGCGAGTCACTTTCCCCTGCTGACCCAGTTCAAGACCACAAAACTCTCAGGTTTTTAGAGACCTTTCAGTAGCTGGTCGAGAGGTCGGCGAGAATCGAGATATCGTTTACGCAACCTTTCCCTTTCACTCCTGGTGTAATTAAGCTAATCCATAATTGATAAGTCAAGGTACAAGGGGCTCCCAGGAATTCGTTCTTCTCTCACCTCTAGCCCAAGTCCTTAAACTTTGACCAGCAACACAGCACTTCCCCAAGACCTCAGTATTACTCATGCAAATACATCACCTTTACCTCCCCTGATTACTATTCCGGATGTTACCCTCAATGTCCAGCACTGGCCTGGCTTAGCTGAATTCTGTTGTGGCCTTTCTTGCAGCTCTCTCACACTCCACGTTTGCCCCCTCACCCAACGGCCCAGGCATGTTTCCAGTTCTGGGCTCCACATTGCTCAAATCAAGTCAAGCCACAGAATAAAACGAGCTCAGGTCACTTTGGTTTTCCATACAAAAGCAATTCCATCTACTCTAGTTCACATTGGGGATCACCCCACGTTCAGGTGAGGGAGCCCATGAAAGGTTGGCCCGTTCCTCGCCAGCCCAGCGCCACTCCCGGGTTGCTGTCACAGTGG